CTTGCGCACGAGTGTCTGCAGATGCAGTTCGGTCTGGCCAATCACCTTTAAGGCTGGCTCACACAGAACCCCACTGTGACGACTGCCGCGCCCTCACGCTTTGAACGCTGCCCCTCTGGGGTGCGGACGCACGCCCTTCAGGCCGCCGACTTTCTCTAGGCCATTCTCTCCTAGCTTTATATAGAATACGCTGTCAATAGAGGTGAATATACGAGTTCCAGGCAGCATTTAGAAGAAGATGCGATCACTGGAACAAGGACTTTATTTTCCTGACGTTTCGGAAGAAGAAGATGCGATCACTGGAACAAGGACTTTATTTTCCTGACGTTTCGGATGCCCTCGGGAATCCTTAATAATAGGTGATGATAATACGTTATTCCTCCCCACGGGGCGTCCAATTTCTTCTCCTCCGATGCACTACCGGGCCTGAAGATCGTAGCAGCAAGGATATTCTCTATTAACTTAAGCCATTACGAAAGAGCTGTATGTCTACACAGAAGGCCTCCCTTGGGGTGCTTGACAAGTTTAAGGGGAAGTCCACGTAGACGGGGATGATCACCTCTGGACTTTATGCTACCATGGCTCGCAACCGCGAGCATGGAAGATTCTAGCCAAACCTGTGGCCTGGTTATTGTTGTCCTCTTGCCAATGTCGACAGCATCCGCCCCTCCCCCCGGCACTTGGTTGCTCGATCCGTTCTATTTATTTCCATGTTACCCATTTCCGTGGGATTCGTTTGAGCGAGAGCAGTATCTACTCGTTGCTTGACTATCTTGCGTAACCGTTGTCCCTCCTCCCCCCTCTCCAACCCCATGCCACAACTCTCAAAGACAAGCCATTCAGTTTATTTGCATCACCACAAAGGCTGCTGTCATGTCCGTATATTTATAGTAAGTTAAAAAAATATAGCCGGGCGACGGAAAACCTAAATGACTGTGTGAGTGTTTAAAAGAACGCAAAAAATAGATCTTGGCGGCAAATGCACATAGAAAAACACTTGTGACTTCATCATAGGGTGCTAATAAAAACCTCTGCTGCTGCTGCTCTCTTAATCTGTTAATTCGTCATAAAAAATAGCGGGAAAAAATTCCGTTGGGAGCAGCGATGGCGAGAAGATGTATCTCCCTCGCTCTAGGGTGAGAAGTTTGCGTTGCGTACCCAGGACTCAATGCTTGGAAGGGCATTTTGTCGGGTGGGCGGCGAAGACGGCGACGTCGGTTCACCTGACTCCTGTGGTGACTCTGCGGTTGCTGTTTCCACGCCTGCCTTTGAACCAATGGGCTGGGCGGTAGTTGTATCCTCCAAGCCGGACGTCAGTTGATGCAATTTGGTGTAGTCGATGAAGTCAACAATGCCATCGGGAACGAGGGAATCAAAGTCTGGCTCCATGC